CCTCTAATTCTGCTGTTTGTTTGTTTGTGTGTTCTTCTTCAAATTACAGCGTTCTCTGTTTGAATTCGATATTGAGAGCCTACAGGATTTCGAGGTTTCTGTAGATTAGAATTTTCAATTTAACTTCTGAGTTTATTTCTGTTTTTTTTCACTGACATTGCATCTTTTGTATGTAATTTTAAATGGCCGACGATTTAAACCCTTTGCATATTTCAGTAACTATGTTCATGATTTGTATTGTATTCATGATGTTGACTGTAAATTAATATGAATGATCTTCCTGGAAATCTGTAGAATAGATGAGGAGAAGTAATTTGGAGATGTTTTGTTATATGCGTATGATTTTGGTAGGATTAGATCTAATTACCATTATGAATTCTTTGTTTTTGTTATGTTTGTTTCTGAGTTTTCTAGTTCTTGTTGTTTTGTTCCATCTTGTTGCAGACATATGACAGACCCTTCATTCATAAATGGTTAAGATCAGGAAACCGAACGTGTCCGAGAACTCAGCAAGTTCTTTCGCACACGAACCTCACTCCCAATCACTTGATTCGTGAAATGATATCTCAGTGGTGTACAAGTAGGGGAATTGAGTTGCAAGATCGTGTCCGTGTGCATTGTCTTGATGACGATGTGATAACCGAGGCTGATAGAGACCGTTTTCTCACGCTAATAGAGAATATGTCTATGACAATACCTGAACAGAAAGCAGCTGCTAAGGAGCTTCGTATGTTGACGAAGAGAATGCCCTCATTTCGAGCGCTTTTTGGCGAGTCCCTTGATGCCATCTCTTTGTTGCTTAGTCCACTTTGTGGAGATAAGTCACAAAGTAGTGTTCACGCGGATCTGCAAGAGGATGTGATCACAACCCTCTTGAATCTGTCGATCCATGACAACAACAAGAAGCTTGTAGCTGAAACTCCCAATGTAATACCGCTTCTAAAGGAAGCGTTGAGATCAGGAACCATGGAAACGAGGAGCAATGCAGCTGCAGCCCTATTTACTCTGTCAGCTCTCGATTCGAACAAAGCACTCATTGGAAAATCTGGTGCCTTGAAGCCCCTTATCGACCTTTTAGACGAGGGGCATCCTTTATCTATGAAGGATGCTGCTTCAGCCATATTTAATCTTTGTATACTTCATGAAAATAAAGCAAGAGCTGTGCGAGATGGTGCAGTTCGAGTGCTTCTGAAAAAGATTATGAACCAAATGCATGTTGATGAATTGTTGGCTATTCTTGCAATGCTTTCAAGCCATCAAAAGGCGGTCGAAGAAATCGGAGAGCTGGGAGCTGTCCCTTCCTTATTCAGAATTATCAGGGAAAGTTCTTGTTCTCGTAACAAGGAGAATTGCATTGTGATCATCCATGCTATCTGCTTATATGATCGAACCAAGTGGAAAGATATGAAGGAGGAGGAGAAATGGTATCGAACTATCTCTGAACTCGCTCAGAATGGGACTTCAAGGGCCAAGAGAAAGGCCAGTGGCATACTTGAAAGACTAAACAGGGCAGTTAATATGACCCATACCGCGTAATGAAATTCTCGGCGTTAAAAACTTGTAGATTCTGCCTCTAAATCCGGTACTCTCGCCTTTTCTAAGACTCGGTCATCTGTTTGGGTAATCTTCGATCTTCTTTTTTTTGTATATCCTCTTATCCTGTGGAGTCTAATTTCGATTTCTCTGCCAGGTTCATCAGTTAGTCACTGTGAATAAATATGATGTGAGTTCTGTTGATAGCTTTTCTTTTTGTTTCTGTTTTAGTTTACTTGTTCTTTTGACATTGTTCAGTTCATCGCTACTGCACTTCTGCAAATTTAGTTTTTTCTCTTATTATCTGTTTCATTGAACTGAACGGATAAGGTTAGAGCTGTTCAAAGGGAAGTAAGCAAATATGACAGGAGAGAATAAAAGGGTAGAGGATTTGATTCTAGCATTGCATATGTTCCGAAGTGGTACCAAAAGGATCTAAGATTGGACAAGAAGGAGAAGGTGAATGGTGTAAGAACCTAAGCCAACCGCTAGCAGATTTTGTTCTCTTATGGATTTTCCTTTCGAACTTTCCTTCAAGGTTTTTAAAATGTTTCTACTAGGGAGAGGTTTTCATACCCTTGTAAAAAATGTTTTGTTTTCTTTCCCGACCAATGTGGGATCTCACAAATGGTAACAATACCGCTATGGGATCTCACAAATGGTAACAATATTAATGTGCATCATTTTGAATGGTATCTGTGATATTGAGTAATGTGGTCCCTTTGAAGATGGAGGGAATAGGAATATTGGATGCCTAACACCTTTTTGTGAATATAGTTCTCTCTTTTATCCCCCTTTTGTCCATAATGGAGCGACCCTCCTTTTATCTTAGACTTCCCCCAACATCTATTGGATTGCTTTATGAATTCCTTGTCATTTCTTTATCTCCTCCACCTTCCCATTTTCGATGGAAGAAAAATGTCGGTACAAGTATAGCTGAACCAATTAGAGGTACGAAATTAATCTCCTCCTAAGATATAAATATAGTTACAGTAAAGGTCTGTTTGTAATGACATTTTAAACACCTCGAAAGTTGTTTATAAGTGAAGATAAAAAAGGTTCGGCTGTAGTTAAAGGTACGGAATCAATCTCCTCCCACTTATTAGTAAGGTATAAATATACTTTTAGTTACCGTACATGTCTGTTTGGAATGACTTATAAGCACTTCGAAAGTTGTTTATAAGTGAAGATAAAAAGGGTTCCACGGAAGCCGAACCATTGTTTTTCCATTTTTTATATGATTTTGTTTTGGTTTCTTTTCTTTTTATGTGACTTTTGGCTTCATTATTTGGTGCAATTGAGGCCAAAATGATACTAGTTATGACTTGCCTAAAGGATAGTTCTGTGAAATACTTTTTGCTATTAAGATTTATAGTATTCAGTTGTAGCTCTCTCTCTCTCTCTCTCTCTTTGGAATAGTTGTTTTCTTTAAAATATTAACAGAAAAGGGGAAGCTGCTTTCGAGTGCCCCATCTTTCTGTATTTAAGGGAGGGAAAAGTCCCCTCATGTCCCTGCTAGCTGGATATTTGGAATCTCTTAAGAGTATACTTTTATATAGCCTTCATTTAAACATTTATAATGTTGGAGACGTGAGGTCCCACGTTAGTTAGGTAAGAGAACGAAACATTCTTTATAAGAATGTGGAAACCTCTTCCTAGTAGATACGGTTTAAAAATCATGAGGGGAAGCCCAAAGAAAACAATGTCTATTAGCGGTAGATTTGTGCTGTTACAAATGATATTAGAGTCGGACACCAAGTGACATGCCAACGAGGAGGCTTAGTCCCGAAGGGGGGTGGACACGAGGCGGTGTGCCAGCAGGGACGTTGGGCTCCAAAAGGGGGTGGATTGTGAGATTCTACATCGGTTGAGAAGGAGAATTAAGCATTCTTTTTAAGGGTGTGGAAACCTCTCCTTAGCAGACACATTTTAAAAACCTTGAAAGGAAGCCCGAAAGGGGAGCCCAAATAAGACAATATCTGCTAGCGATGGGTTTGATCCGTTACAGATAAAATGATTGACCACGTATGATTTTTTTAGTTCAGAAAGTGTGAATAGGGAGATGAAACTATTGTCTTTAGAATGTTAATTGGTACTTTTATCTCTGAATTATGCTCAGATTGATGTACGATTATCGATGACTCTTTGTACAATAGGTATGCCAATTAGTTAGATGGTGACGAAGACTTGCTTACCATAACTTTTGAACACTTCATCAGAATAACAATTTATTACTTCTTTTCCTTCTTCGCACAAACCTCTACTAAATCCAATGGGTCCTTGTTAGGTGTTAAATTTTCTGGATATAAATCAACATTTTGGAGAGAGAAATCCAAAGAAGAGGAGGGTCTACCATGTGCCACATAATAACAAGGCATGGGGTTTGGCTGCATCCAAAGAACATAGCATTATGTTGATATTAATCCATCTCATTACACAACAATGGTGACATCCCCTTCTCTCTCTCTCTCTCTCTCTCTCTCTCTCTCTCTCTCTTTCTCTCTCCTAAACAAGAAAACAATCCAACTTTTTCTTTGGTTCGGATCGGTAAGAGGGTCGGTTATTTAGAATGACTTTTCAAGTGTTTTAAAAATATTTTTGACGTTTAGTTTCTTAGAAAGATGGTCAAGTTAAAATCATTAGTTTCAAAACCGTCTTTTTAAAAGACGGACTTAAAATTTCAAAATGGGTTATGGTTATAATATTGATTTGGAAAGAAAACGACGTAATTTAATCATTATCGTACAATTGTTTGTCTAATTAATGTGGTTGGTGCTAGAAGATGCAACGTCCTAGTTTCTTTTCTTGTCTACACTAATGTTTCGTTTAATAAAAAATTTTATAAGTTGTCTGTTCGTATGAAAATTTTAAAATTAATGAAAAATCATGTGATGTGCTGTCCAATAATTTTGGGGAATTGGACAATAGCAATCAATTGTTGGTCCATGAGACTATGACATGAGTCGAGAGAGATTTTCAACCCATAATACTTGACCCTCGTGCATTTGGAATCAAAATATCTTCATCCAAATCACTTAAAAAATTAGGTGAAATCGGTAGAAAATAAACCAAATCAATGATAATGAACATATTTCAAGCGATTGAATATCGGTATCACTCCGTGTATGTTGTAAACGTGCATTACCCCTTTCTTCTGTAAGGTACTACAAGTAAGAATATCTGAGATCGATATTAGTTTTGACCAAATATGCCTACTAACAGACAGATTCAACCAACATGAAAATAACTCTCCAATCAAAGTAATAGTTCTTTTGAGGTCGAGATTCAAATTTTTTCTCTTTATTAGTAGCACTCGAACATAAAAGATAAATCAAGTAGAAAGCATGCTAAACTAGCCTTCGAGTGGTAGCTTAATCATTACCCTTGTGCTCGACATTCCTACTATGTAAGTTATGATTTCCATCTGGAAAACGTCCATTTGAATGTGAAAGGTGTACCCGACGAGATTAGTAAAGACATATATCATCGATTATGAGGTTTAAGTAATAACTGTACAGGAAACTAACCAGCCATGGTAACAAATTGCAGAACAGCAAATCAAAAGACAAGACCTCATGTATACTTAATTTGTATTGTAAGCCCATCCATGCTTATCTAGAAATGCCTGTACAGCTTCCTTTATGGCTAAGTTCGGTACTAGCTGAGACTCGTCGAGTAGCTCCCGCGTTATGGGATCGAAGTTACCAACCTAAACAAGGAAGCCAGTAGTTAGAATTGTAGCTATAGGACATGAACGAGTAGGATAGCAACGTGGAAAATGCCGACCTTTCGAAAATGGTCGAGGATCACTGCTCTCTCATATGTAACCCCGCTTGGAGTAATAACGGGATCACGAAGAATATCGAGCGTAATTTTACAACAAAGATGATCGGGGACCTGAAAAAACATCAAATTAGTACCTTCACAGGATTTAAATGGCTAGTGTTATGTCAAAATGCTTAACCTCAGATGGCGCATCAGCCACGGCATAGTTTTCAAACACACTTCTTAGAGAGTTTAATTGTTCCCGATGAGCGCTTTCGGCTTGATCTACGAACCCTTCTGGTTCAGACTGGTCAAGGAAGTATTTTTGTTCAAGTGCAGCCTCACAAGCCTCTCTGAGAAATAGTAACATAGATCACAACCAAAGAAACCCGTCTTTCTTTCTTTTTTAATATCTAATCTATAACGGTCCAAGCTCATCGTTAGCAAATATTGTCCGCTTTTGCCTATTACGTACCACCGTCAGCCTCACGGTTTTAAAACGCGTCTACTAGGGAGAGGTTTTCACACCTTTATAAGGAATGTTTCGTTCCTCTCTCTAACTGAGATGGGATTTCACAATCCACTCTCATTGGAGGCCCAGCGTCCTCGCTAGCACACCGCTTGGTGGCCGACTCTGATACCATTCATAACAACCTAAGCCCACCGCTAACAGATATTGTCCGCTTTTACCCATTACGTATTGCCGTCAGCCTCATGGTTTTATTAGAACACGCCCGCTAGGGAGAAGTTTCCACACCTTCATAAGGAATGTTTCGTTCCCCTCTCTAACCGATGTGAGATTTCACAATCTACCCCCCTTGGAGGCCCAACGTCCTTGCTGGCACATCGCCCGGTGTGTGGCTCTGATACCATTTGTAACAGCTTAAGTCCACTGCTAGCAGATATTGTTCGCTTTCACTCGTTACATATTGCCGTCAGCCTCACAGTTTTAAAATGTATCTTCTAGGGAGAGGTTTCCAAACTTTGATAAGAAGTGTTTTGTTCCCCTCTCCAACCGATGTGGGATTTTACAATCCACCCTCGTTGGGGGGCCCAGCATCCTCGTTGGCACACTGCCTGGTGTCTGGCTCTGATACAATTTGTAACAACCAAAGTCTACCACTAGTAGATATTGTCCGCTTTCGCCCATTACGTATAACCGTCAACCTTACGGTTTTAAAACACGTCTGCTAGGGAGAGATTTCCTCACCTTTATAAGTTATACTATGTTCCTCTCTCCAAACGACGTGGGATTTCATAATTCACCCCTGTTGGGGGGCCCAGCGTTCTCGCTGGCACACCGCCCGGTATCTGGCTCTAATACCATTTGTAACAGCCCAAGCCTACCTCTAACAGATATTGTCCATTTTCACCCATTACGTACCGCCGTCAACATAGTTTTAAAACTCGTCTGTAGGGAGAGGTTTCCACACTTTTATAACAAATGCTTCGTTCCCTCTCCAACCAAGGTGGGATTTCACAATCATTATCGACATCTTCACGAAAGAAAACTTATTTGAAGGCTTCCAACCCTCAAAACCAAAAGCTCTAGGAGAAAAATAACTTACTTCAAGGTCTGCAATTCCCATGAACGTTTGGTGGATGCTTGTTCCCACTCCCTGTATTTTGCATTTGCAAGCTCCTGCCATATCTCCTCTACCATATAACTCTTTTGATTTGCACCTCTACCAAGATCCAAAGCCTATAAAACACGAGGTCGAATTAAATTTGTGTCAGCATAATAAACTATACGCTCACTCGATGTATACGAATCGAGAGTCTATATTTGAAAGTCCCCTAAAACGAGAGTATCCGTGGATCATAGGCGAGTTGTGTAGTGTACCATCAGAGATCTTTGTTTAAATGCTACAAAAATTAGAGAGAAGTTAATGAAGAGCTACCTTCTCCAAATGCTTGATTCCTTCAGGATAGTCTTTGTTTTGTATTAATGCTAATCCTACCATGTAATGTGCCTGCACATCAAAAATTGCCAACAAATGTAAGAACAAATAAATAAAGGAAAGGAAAAAAAAAAATATATATATATATATATATATAATGAGAAGCACAAGCACGTTAGTTCGGGCAACATGCAATAGAGACTAACTCTCCGATATTCGTTGGACACCGGAAAAATACCAAGAAATTACAGGACCTCTCTGGCATTTGCACATAAAATTGGCTTTTGGTCTACGACTTCTAGGCACATGAAAAATCTAGCGGAAAAGTCACTAGAGGCATGAGACATTTCAATAATTTCATAAGAACGGTTGAACTCACTGATCATCCCCGCAGCAATGATCTTTATATGTGAGATCCCACGTCGGTTGGAGAAGGAACAAAGCATTCCTTATAAGGGTGTAGAAACCTCTCCCTAGTAGACGCGTTTTAAAACCGTGAGGCTGACGATGATATGTAATGAGCCAAAGCAGGCAATATATGCTAGCGGTGGGCTCGGCTGTTATATTATTCTTGGTCAAACAACAGATTCACACCTACCTTGACACTCATCGACAAATTTTTAGCTATTGAAGGCCTCTGGGGAAAATTTAGTATTGCTCATGTTTGAGACTAAATAGACCTACATCGAATCATTATCCCGTTGTGTTTTCCATAGGTTGCCTCAAATGGTGCTCCTCGACCTTCCATTTTGAGAATATATGGTTAGATCACATTAATTTTCTGCCTACGATAGAATACTGGTGGAAGAACACTCCCCTCCGTGGATGGTTAGACACAAATTCATTATTGAACTAACGGAACGAGGTTTTCGGTTGTATTTCCACAAAAACAAACCAACTACTTACAAAAATTACTATTTTTGATCGAATGGAAGAAACCGACCCTATCACATTAGTTCAACACACATAAGAAGCTCATGAAAGCTGAATTCATATCATTGGTAGCAAATAAAGTGCAATCTCGAAGACATAAGTGTAAAAAACTCCAGATTTTTCCATCGTATCATGACCTCAAAGAAACGAAATAGTACCATCATAGAAAGTCTATCGACCCAAGGCAGAAGTTTCATCAATGAAGATGAAATGGTCTCAAAATTCATGTCCTCTTAACACACATATATAAAAAGGACGACACCCTCACCGAATTTCTTGATAATCTTGATTGGAGCCCAACTGATCATCGCCAAGCAACCTCCCTTGAGTTTGCATTCATCAAAGAAGAGGTATGGAAGGCGATAAAAATCTCGAGCTCTGACAAAACTCCTGGATCAAGTGGTTTTACCTCCTAATTCTTTAAAAAATATTTGGAACTTTTTGAGAACCGATATCATGAGGGTGTTCCAAAAAAAATTCTAAATGAAAAGTATATATATGCTTGATCTCAAAGAAGATAAGTCTTACAACACGACTATACAAAATTATAGCAAGGGTTTTATTAGAACGCCTCAAAAGAGTTCTCCCTTTCACCGTCACTAGGCAACAAACAACATTTGTACAGGGATGTTAGATCCTTGATGCATCCTTCATGCAAATGAGCTTATAGACAAATGGAAAAAGAGGAAACAAAAAGGTGTATTCGTCAAATTTGACCTAGAAAAAGCCTTCGACAAGGTTGTTTGGGTTTTGCTCGACAACATTCTTAAAACAAAAGACTTTTGCTCAAAATGGCGGGTGGATAAAAGGATCTTCTCGATCATCATTAATGGATGACCGAGAAAGAAGATCTATGCTACACAAGGTCTTCGACAAGAAGATCCACTATCCTCTTTTCTTTTCATTATAGTACTAGATTGCCTTAATCTCTTACTCAACAAGGTAGAATACGTAAAGCAAATAAATGGCTTCCATGTTGGTAATTAACATGTCTGGAACAGTGAAAACCTTCGAAAGATTCTCGAGAAAAAACATCAACCTCCAAAAAATAAAGATCGTTGGTCAATGTTAGCACAAAGGATATCGACGACTTTGCCAAAAGATATGGCGGTAAAAAAGGTGAAAGGCCAAATATGTACATGAGATTGTCCCTAAATGAAAACCTCAAATCCTTCTCCTTTTAGAGGACCATTATTGAAAAAAATAGGAAGGTCATCGACATGATCATTATGCTATACTTCCAAAGGCGGAAGGCTCTCCCTATATAAACCACATGGTTGAACATTCCTACTAACTACATGTCTCTACTCGAAATGCCTCACAAAATGGCTCTGGAAATAAAAAGATTATTCAAAAACTATCAGTGAAAAATGGCTCACGTCTTGTTCAATGAAATATCATAAACCTCCAACTAGACAAGGGAGGTCTTGGGCTATATTCAATGAAGAAAAAGAAGAGAGCCCTCCTCGCCAAATGGATATCTACATGCTCCTACATCAGGTACAAATGAGTCCCCCCACATTCTACAAAGGGGGCATGGAAGCATCTAAAAGAGTACCAAAACCTCATCATCAACCGCATTCGCCATAGAGTGGGTGGTGGAGGAAACACATCTTTCTAGACTAACCCTTGGATTGACAACACCACGTTAGCTTTGCAATATTCTCGTTTGTACAGACTCTCTCATTGCAAGACAGTCACAACCAAAGAAACATGGAAAGATGTCAACAAATACTAGGACCTAAAGCTTGGTAAGAACCTAAACGAAGCTATAGACTAGGCCGAATTAAGCCTTGACCTTACCCAATTGGGTTGTCCCAAGAAGCAAACTTAACGAAATAGCTTTCTAGTATGGACAAGGTCAGTAAGAAGTCATAAACCTCTCTCATTGTAAATTGGAAAGGTCTTTTGTAAGTATCACGGGAAGCGTCTTCATCAACACATCCATATCGAACTCTAAGAATCAAAACCAAAATTTCAAGGTTTATAGAATAGTACCTTGACAGAATTGTTGTCAAGCTGAATAGCTCTCCGACAGTCCTCCTCCACCTTCTTCCAATCACTACACACCATTAAAAACAACACATCATAACAATAAATTCTCATTATCTCCGTAATAAGGAAGAAAATGGGGCAAGGATAGGTGCCCGTACATACTTCCGCTTGCGATGACACAAAGCACGGTTCGTCAAATACACAGGAACATTCGGACATAGCGTAATCGCCTTCAAATCAAAAACAACAAGAATATCCCAAATAATTCGATTTTGATAGCCAAATAGCGACCAGAAAGAACAATTCGAGAGACAGGAAGAAACCTCGGTATAGGCTTCAATGGCGGCTCCAATCCGGCCCTTCTGGAAATAGTGATTTCCATCTTTTCTGAGAATCTCGGCCTGTCTTGCAGCGCCAGACAAGAACACGCCCGGCCCCATCGCCAATCGACGAAATCAAAGCGACGACGCTGAATATAACTTTTAGGGTTTTTATTTTGGTTCTCGAAATCAAGAACAGATAGATTATTGCAGAAATGGGATTACAGAGATTGATTTTGGGAAGAAGAACAATGAAAGGAAAAGAGGCGGTTTCTTGAGAAGGGAGGGTTCGGCTTCACGACATTTCCAGCCAAAAAGATGAAATTGACGCCAAATTTGCCATTTATTTTCTATTTATTTTTCATTTAATTTTGGATTTTCTTGTCTACAATTAATTTGGTTGACTTTTTAATTGTGCTCGTTTGACTAATTGAGTCAAGGCATTGAAAATTGTAATCTTAAAACAACTCTCTTTTCGAGGATTTGACTCGGTCAATTAGATTGGATATGTAACAGCCAAGTCCACTGCCCTCTCTAACACGGGATTCCACGTGCCCCATGCTACTCGGGTCAGAGCGTAAACTAGTGATGCTTTCGGCTACTGAACTCTTGCAATCTAGGGTGTAGCACTCCACCGCTTCGCCTAGCAGCACGACGCTTGTATTGCTCTCCCACAACCCTGTTTTCACGGTTTAGGTTGCTCCCATTTCGCTCACCACTACTACGTTGTATTGCTCTCCCACAACCTTGTTTTCACGGTTTAGGTTGCTCCCATTTCGCTCGCCACTACTACGTTGTATTGCTCTCCCACAACCTTGTTTTCACGGTTTAGGTTGCTCCCATTTCGCTCGCCACTACTACAGGAATCGTTTTTGCTTTCTTTTCCTCTGGCTACTAAGATGTTTCAGTTCGTCAAGTTGTCTCTTTAAAACGTGTCTACTCGGGAAGGTGTTACGGGGCCAGTGTTCTCGCTGGCACTCGTTCTTTTCTCCAATCGATATGGAACTCCACCAAATCCACCATCTTCGGGGCCCAGTGTCCTTGCTCACACATCGCCTCTTGTCAACCCCCCTTCGGGGCTCAGCCTCCTCGCTGACACATCGTCGCCTCATGCCCACCCCACTTCGGGGCTCAGCCTCCTCGTCGACACATCGTTGCCTCATGTCCACCCCACTTCGGGGATCAGCCTCCTCACTGACACATCGCCTTATGTCCACTCCACTTCGGGCTCAGCCTCCTCACTGACACATCACCTTATGTCCACTCCACTTCGGGCTCAGCCTCCTCGCTGGCACATTGCATGATGTCTGACTCTTATACCATTTGTAAGAGCTTAAGCCCACCACTAGCGAATATAGTCCTCTCTGGGTTTTCTCTTTGTGAGCATTCCTCAAAGTTGTTAGAACGTGTCTACTAAAGAGAGGTTTCTAAACCCTTATAAAGGGTGTTTTGTTCTCCTCTCTAACCAATGTGGGATCTCACAGGACCCATAAGATAGGTTGTGACTATCATATTATGGATGATTGTTAAGTATTTTGGAAAGAAAATTACGAGACTTCGTGCATATTTATGAATGACATGTTATTACGAAAAAAAAATTAAATTGTAGTAGTTACCCATTTAATTTCATGATCACGCTCTAGGATGTCGATTCTCATCTGCTTGGGCAAATTCTCCCAAGACTCGTGTTTATGCACTAGTAGATAATTGGTAAAGTTAAAACAAAAAACGGTTAATTGTCCACAATGGCCATAGGAGAATAACAGGTGTTTAATAGTAATGTTTCAGGTCTCATGGGTGCACGTGACATTTTTCGTGTTCTATGAAGAGGCATTTTTTTTCTTAAAACTTTTTGAATTAATGACAAAGGTGTACGAGGCGAGTGATGGGTCATATGCTGTTTGAGCCATGGAGTCAATGTCAATGTGTTTCCGTGAACGTTTCAATTTCTTTATTTTGAAGTTGTGTTTTAAATTCTCTAAATTAATTTTACTTTCTCTTATTTTATGTTTTAAATGCGGTGAAAACCCCTAAGTTTATCTCGAATATATATAGAAAAATGGATAAATATAAGTCAATTTAAGCATAGTTCAACCTAGAAGATAATAAATAATCTCTCAAATAAAGATGATTTAATCTCCCGCTCCCACCATTGAGTCTCTTTGGGATGATATATAGATATATGAAGATTATAAGCAAAAGTTGTGCGTATATGTGATACCGATTTTTATGTTTTAAGTTAAATTACTAATTTAATCTTGACAAGTGATTTGACTTTTGAAAATCTTTATTCTCAAATATTAAATTTTGAAAAATGGTTATAGTCTAGTTGATTAGGATACTCTCTCAGACTCGGTTTATTCTCGAGAACCAAATTTTTGTTTTGAATATAAGGACAAAAAAAATCGTCATAATTTCACTTTAGTTGGTTGTTTTACCATTTTACCCTTGGTGTTACATTCACGCTCGTCCCCGTGAAAAAAATCTAAAGTATAATATTTTTTTACATATACAAAAATAAAATAACCTCGATTAGTTGTCGAGTTGTCTACAGTGAGACTTTGAGTTACCGTATAGAGATGACTTGATAATGTAACATTATTGACGAGAGGTAGAAAAAGGGAATGGTAGGACGATTCACTTGTGGCGAATTGTAAGGAAAAAAGTAGACGACAACGAAGGAGGGGTTGTTTCGGGTTGAATCGAGTTGAATCGAGTTAGGTTCAAATAAATGAAAATTTTATGGGGTGAAATAGATATTTTTACGAACTAACTTTTACTTTTACTAAAAACAAAAATTTGAATAAACGACTCAAACAACCCGAACCAACCCAACCCAATCCAACCATAAATTTTTTTGGTAAAAAATTTACAACTCGAACAATTGAGTTGGATCTAAAAATTTGCCTCAACTCGATCCAATCCAACCCACGAACACCCCTATACATTGTACTCAATTGATAGACAGATAAATCACAAATTCATAAAGATAGCAATGAAGTTTAAACCGTAAAAAAAGCTCTAAATTCGTGAACGTTATCTTAGTTGACAAAGAGGTAATTTCTTGGGGTATTTCATATAACCTGCTGACCTGAACAAACTAGACGGTCCAACTCAAGTCGTCGATCTGAATTGGGTTAATTTTTTTAGGTTGATTTGGATCGAATTTTTGGAAAGCCAATCATTTTGGCTCGAGCCTCGAAATTGATATGTTCTTAGATTTTGTTACTGATAAGAAATAAAATTAATTTAGGAATTATTTTGTAAAAATTTATTTACTTATTTAGCTTTTCTTCCATTCTAGGAAATTGACCATTCCAACAACATTTTCAACCAACATATTTATTGATCCATAATTTTCAAATACAAAATATAGTAATAATAATAATAATATATTTGGAAAATTATTTGGTCACAAAAAAAAATGTAATTAAAATATGTGTAATAATTTAGGGTTACGATTTAATAAAATTTCATTATAAACATTTATATTTATTTTTATGACATAGTTGAATTAAATTATTTCAAAATTTTAAATTCATAGATAAATTGATTTTTTAATTAAAAAATATATATTTCAATTTAGTCCCTATATTTTGAGTTTATTTCGATTGCTATACTTTTAAATATCTAATTTTAGTCTCGGTACTTTCAACAAATCTTAAAATTAATATAGCTGTTGAAAGCAAACCGAACTGATTTTTTTTTTCTGTTCGCACACGTAAATGAAGGCTTGTAATTCTTTATCGTCAAAATAAAAAGTTGAAGAAAATTTTCAGGGTTCTTTGAGACCCGTTCCACAAATGACTTCGCTATAAAATTGTTATAAAGTTGTTGCACAGTGTGGACGGGAGCTCCATGTCTAATGGCTTGGTGCACCGAACTTGACCTTATACATCTCCGTACTATATTGCATCCACCAGTCAAACATGTATGAACGTGTTTTAAAATCGTAAGACTGTTATCCTCTGTTATCCTGTAAGAGCTAGGTACTCATTCCCGGTCGCTTTCTCTTAGTGTAAACTGCTGAGTGATCCTCGCTATCGGGCTAGAATGGGTGAGTGTAGCGGATTTGATCATCCTCTGCTTGTAGGGATCTAAGGCACCACCCCGAAGGCCGAAGCGTCATGGACGAACCTGCTCAATCCACCACCACCAATAATCAATCAAACTAGTCAAAAGTAGATAACAGGTCAAAACAGACAATATTTGCTCGTAATTCCTTCCATATAGTGAAAATTTATTAATATTAATTAATGAATTTTAGAATAAACCCTAATGGAGAGGGCAGAGTCCAAATTCATGGATCGATTTCATTTCTGGATATCAATTAATTGATTCGTTCGCCATAAATGGCAACCGATTCAATGCCGTCGGAGAAAAAAAAACTGTTCCGATCCATTTCGCCTCAAAATCGCCTTTTAAAAAACGCCTCTCTCTCTTTCTCTCTCTCTGTTTCGATCGCTCCTTCAATTTGAATTCAATCGCGCTCTGTCTCTGTAAATGGATGCGTTAGGATCATATCCGATCAATTTCAGTACCGGTAGGGTTCCGATCTCTACCAGCGGCGATGAATCGAAGAATCGCCCGATAAGGCGGAATAGGATGGTCCAAGCGGCGGCAGAGTGGCTGAAACGGCGATCCACGGTAGCGAAGATCGCTATTGCGGCGGCGGCGACGGTGTTGGCGTTGGTGACTTTGAAGGTGACTGTTAAGGATCATAATTACTTCTTCATCGCCGGTGCAGTCATTCACGCTGCCGGACTTCTCATCCTCGCTTACAAGCTCACCACTCATAAAACCTGCTCCGGCGAGTTCCTCTCTCTCTCTCTCTCCCATCTTTCAATTTTTATTTTTATTTTTATTTTTATTTTTCTGATTTTGGGATTTCTGTTTGAAAATGCAGCCAAGAATTAGGATTCAATATATATATATTTTTTATTTATTTTTATAAACATAAAATTAAATTATGGATTTAAAATATTTTTATCAATTTTTTATTTACAAACGATTTTTCCATTAATTTAATTTAATTTAATTTTTCTTTTTTTTTTTGTATTTGCAAAAATATATTGATTTTGTTTAGAACAAAATAGTAAATGTTCTTATTTCTTATAAGGGTATTTTGGTAATAAAATCAAGTATGTCACATAATGTTCTTATTTCTTATAAAGATATTTCGGTAATAAAATTAGGTCTGTCACATAATGTCCTTATTTCTTATAAGGGTATTTTGGTAATAAGATCAGGTTTGTCCCATAATGTCATTATTTCATATAAGGGTATTTTGGTAATAAGATCAGGTTTGTCACATAATGT